TTTGATATAGAATCATTAATTACGTATACAAACCTTAACAAAAACGTATCATTTCCTTATTTCGATTTCTTATAGGGAAGTAGATGTCATTATATATGGTTAGTGAAATCTACTAGTTATGAATTTGAATTGCTACATTTTCTTTAGTTTTAAGTAATTATTATAAAAAATCCTAAAATTATAACAGCTATTTTATAGTATATATTTATAAATTGTTTAAAAATAAATTAATTTATAATTTAAAGCTTATATATAATAATAAATCTTTTATTATTAATTTATATAAAAAAAGTAACAAATAATTTAAATAAATTTAAAATATAATTTAATTTACTAATTCTAATAATTTATTTGTATTTTAGCCAATACATAAATTAAAAAATTAAAATATAAAATTAGTTTTTTGTAAAATGTTTATGCAAGTTCTATTAAAAAAAAGTCTAATAATTAATTCTGATAATTATGAGAATAATTGTAATAAGAAAAATATTATTATTTCATTAGTTTCAAAATTTAATGAACTTTAAATATCAGGAAAAAATTTTGCTCTAAAAAATGTGAACTTATTTAAGGAAATGAGAAGCTAAAGTTTATGTAATAAAATTGTTTAATTTTAAAAAGGAATATGAATGTAAATTTTAAAATAGGGTATTTGTGTGTAAAATATAGTATATAAATCTATTTTCAGAAGATTTTAATAAAATAAAATTTTGTATATTACATTGATAATATAAATTAAAACTTAAATAATAAATGATAATTAAAATGAATTGGGAAATTAAAAGCTTTTTTATTTAAACATAAATGTCAATTTAATTAAATATATGTAAACGATGTAACTTATAGTTTAATGCTAATATATGTACTATTGAATAATGAACTAGTATTTTAGAATCGAAAAATGAGTATAGTATATCACGTGAAATGAATTTTTGAGTATTTTTTTTTAAATAATAAACTGACCTAGCCTAACCCTAACCTACCAACATCAACGAAAACTCTTAGAAATTAAGTAGTCATACTCTAATATTAATTATACCACTCATTTGGTTGATAGAACTTAAATGTTTTTCCTATTATTTTGGAAAATATTAATCAATTTGCAAGTGCTTTTGCAATCGATTTTGAGTTTTTTGAGTATTTTTACAATTGCGGAGTTAAAATGCTCATTTGGCATCAAATAAAATTGTAAATTCAAAATTTTCTTTATTTAAATTGTGGTTTAAAAGGATTTATATAAAAAAACAACACGCATATAGCGTGGTAATAAATTCACAACATTCTTTATTAATTAAATCGCTATCAAATTGAGAACTCTATAAATATATTATGTAAAGTTTTGATTAACAATCTCGTCGGCGAAAGCTTTATGAACAACTCTGGTGGGATGTATATTTTCAAACCAGAAATATTTATCACAAATTGGAAGAGAAATGACGGGAACAGGTTGGCAAGCATCAACAATATTAGTTATACCTAATAAACCTTGTCCTTTTTTAGTCATGGCTCGATCGAATATTTCGTAAGTATTAATAAAATAGATTTGTATATTATAATCTTTTGATAAGTTGGTAACCATAGAGGAAAGTAATTCATTGTGTCGGATGATGGTTGAATGAATTAGTTCCTTTGTTTCGTCTGATTTTGAATTAAATCTAGGTGATTTTCTCACGTCAGACATGTTCATTATCAAAAAATAACTCGCTCCCACGGTTGTAATTAACCTTTGTATTGAGCTGGATAATGAATTCACTATTATTTCGGGATTTAATTTAAAATTTAAAGAAAGATAGTCATTTCCGGCTGACCAAAGCTAATTAAAGTTTACGCGTGAAATCAAATTTAGGAAGACGAATATGTTTTTGTTTAATTTTAATTTTATTTTATTATTTTAAAATAAAAATATTTCACTTACAGAGAACAAAGTATTAGTATAATCGTCATTTATTTTAGTATTAACGAGAAATGATTCAACTTGCTGTTTAATTCCCGGTATGATGAAAGTAAAGTTGAGAGATATCATTTGACTAGGTGCAATCAAATCAGAACTAGAAAATTAAAATTAAATTTTATTAAACAGAAATAAATAAGGAATGATATAAAATAATAAATAATTACTTACTCAACACCTGCACCACCAAAAGCATAATTTTTCATGGTGGTATTTAAGAATTTGGAAAGCCAATCACACCATAAAAGACCATCCGAAAATCGTCCGTCATAATAACCATTACTTGGAAATAACCCATTTGATGCTTTATAATAATTCTTTACGTCTTTATTTTTATAGAGAATTTTTTTAAAAAAAATTATAATGTTTCATAATGATCGAATTAATTAACAAATGATCATTATTTACCAGATATCGAATCTCCAAATACGATAAATTTACCAAATGAAGGTTTAATAGCTGGTGCACCTTTTGTAAAAGATACGAGAAGAGTTACTATGAAAACACAAATCAAATTCGTTCTTTTCATCAGTAAATTTTTTTTTGTAAAAAAAAAGTGAAGGAAGCTTTTGAACTTATAATTTTATTTCATTTATTCAAATATTACAAATGTCAATCATATAGACATGAGTATGATATAACCTTCGATAGTTGTTTAATGGATAAGTATGGTGATTAAGTATGGCTCCCAATGATCAATATATATCATATAGTACTCCATACATAAAATTTTATTTTTTCTTCAGACGTATTTTTAATTAAAAAAAAAAAAAAAAAATCTTCTATTTACAGGATAAGTTAATAAGAAATGACTAATATTTTATAGGAACAATCCCTTCGGCTTCAACTTGTTAAAACAGAGGTAAGATGGTTTCTCTTTATTTATTTATTTATTCTTTATTTTATTTAGGAACGATATATTAACGCCTTTTTCTACTTTTCTTTATAGGGACGGGGCTTTTAGAGGATAATTTTAAGGTATGTTAAATGTGAGTTATTTCTTTTAGGTAAGTTCCTACTGTAATTATCTTGAGATATGATTCATGGTGACTTATTAAGCATTTTCGTTTATGATTAAATTAACATTTTATTTGGATTTATATATTACAACAATTTTTATCGGAAACCCAGAAATCAGGATAATTAATGAATATTGCATATAGTAGTCATAAAGTTTTCTTATTTACAACAAAGCCGATTTTGATCAAAGTCAACCATTTCTTTTACCAACTTATTAATTATAACTTTTCTATCGGTTCTCTATATGTTTTAGGTGATTATTTAAACATACAGTATTGTTGTTGCATTATAAACAATACTAACCGAATTTGTGGTTACAAAGTAAAACCGAATAATAATAATACATCGCCAAATTTTAAACTTCAAAATTTTTTAATTAAAGTAATTTAATTCAACTTCTTTTATAATGGTTGAAATGTTTAATGCAGTTGAAATATTTTTTTTTTTTCATGATTATCCGAAAAGCAAATTCTTCACAGCGGTTCATTATATTGGTATAAAAGAACGATGTAAATGGGTTTTGCTTATGAGATAGTTTCATTAGGTCATTCATTACCCTCCATTTTTAAATAAAATCAAAAGAATAGATCATATCATGATATTCCGGATGGCTATGTAATTAAATTAGAATTATTGAGAATTCCAATTACTTTAAAAACATGATATTACATCCGTGTAAAGTTAAATTCTCCAATTCATGGAACGATAATGGTAATTTTAAAATTCTTGAACCAAAAAAACAGGTAAAAATCTAATATATGAGAACGTTTTCAGTAAAATCAAGTCATGAGGCATAGTAAATCATATGATCTGTAATGTGATTTTACTGGAAACGCTCCCATATCGATATAATATTTACAATACTTATCTTTTAATATTTTTAATAATTTTTTTTTTAAGAAACACGATTTGTCTCCCAATTCAAATATTTCTGTAACTCATTTATTTGGGTTTTGATATTGAAATTTTGAATAAATTAAGATGACAACTATTAATAATTACCATTTTTTTTGATTCAGTATTATCATCATAACAAAATAAATCATTGAATTATCTTGGAAAAGATATGAAGTCAAATATTATTCCTCTTAATAATCATAATTTTATTTCTTCTACAATTAATAAAATAAATAACTGCAAAACTTATAGAAATTAAATTAGAGATAGAAGGAAGAGTTATGTGTTTTCATTTTAATAATAATCAATTAGAAATAAGCAAATAGAAGTTACAGTCTATTTATATGATCAAATACTTCTTTCACATAAAATTTATAGAGAAATATGTAAAATTTATTCAGATCTTATTAAAAAATATAAAATTAAATAATGCAGATTAAAGATTTCAAATGAAATGGAATAGATTATATCAATTAATAATTTTAATATTAATTCTATTATAAATACAGATGATGTTGAAAAAAAATCAGAAATTTAACAGATTTTAATAATTTATTGATTAAAAAAAAATCAGAAATAGTATTTATTACAATTATTATTACTTATTATTAAAAAAAGTAATACAGTATTTGTCTTATTTTTATTACAATTTTCAATTATTTCATTATTATACTATTATGCATAGGAATTAGAGCTTTGAATATGTCGGGTCAGATTAGATAATTGATTTGATCTAATCTGATAAAGTCAGGTTAAACATAAAATTGAATTAAATATACCTTTAATCCAATCTAACCTGACCTGACCTGTATATCATGTAATTTCAGATTAATTATAAAAATAATATAATGAATATGAAACTAACCATTTATTAATTTTGTTTAAAATTATTTTAAAAAAAAAACAAAAAAACATTAATACATTTTTACATTTTATACATTTTATTATTTTAGTAAAATTTTCAAAAAAAAAAATACTAATATAATAATATTTTTTTAATTACAAGTTGTGATAAGTCTGCAAGTCAGGTAACTACTAATATAATTATAAAAATGTTCATAACTTTATAACTATTAATCCAATTTAAAGTCTACAGATTCATGCATTTGCATAATTTTTCATTTATATACTATAATTTTGCATGATACATGCATCACACTTTTAAGACAATTTTCTTATTTTTTGCATATTTCACATAACCTTATATTGTATTTATTGTATTTATCATTTAAAAAATAAATTTTATTAGATTATCAGCATCTTTTTTTTACAAAATAGTTATGGCATCTGAGCGATTATCAAAAGATTCAAATTTTCAAATATATTTTTGTCTAGAAAATAAAAAATTATTACTATAAATTTTGCAATCATGTAGTTAAACATGAATGCAAATCTGTTATAAAAGGTTATATAAACTCACTAATTTATTTAAAAAGAAAAAATAGTGCTAAAACTTTACAAACTATCATACCAAGTATTTATCAAATTAGATCAAAAACAAGAAATTAATGTATATCTTATTAAAGTATTTACCAAAGCTGATATTCCACTTGAAAAAATTGAGAAACTTAAACCTTTTTTATTAAATTTTGTAATAATGATAAGATTTTTATCTACAGTATATTTGTTTTTAGTTTTAAATATTTATATTAACATTAATAATTAAAAATTAAAGAAGAAGCTGTTATTAATGCAAATCATCTACGTAAAAGATATCTTTCAGCTGTTTTGAATCAGTAAAAATAAGTTAAAAATGAGTTATCTAATCTTAGAATTTCTGTAACTATGAATGAATATAACAGATAGTTGTGAAAGAAGTATGCTTAATATATTATTTAGTTTTCATATAAAACTAAATTAGTGAATATCATTTTTTTAAAAGCTGTAAACTATACAACAATTGCATAAGCTTTTGTTAATACTATTTATTCCTATAATATACTTCTTACTAATTTAATATTTTTATTAGTGATAATGCATCATATATGAAAAAAGCATTTACCAGTATTTTATTTTCATTAATATCATACTTATTTCATAATATATGTTTTGCTCATATTTATAATCTTGTTGATGAAACTTGGGTGAATTTTGAATACTTTAAATTATTAGATATTGTAATAAAATATATTAAAATTTTATTTGTATACTCAGTAACAAGAAAAAAAATGGAAAGAACGTTTAATTTCAAAATCTGTTATTTTAAATACAAATAAAAGTCTATTTAATGAAAAAACATATAAGATTTATCTGCTAATTTACCTCCTTTACCTATTAAAACTAGATAAAATCCTTAATTTAAATTTATAACTTAGATGAAGAAATATTATCAAAATTTTATATTGAAGAATCTGCAAAAACAAATGCTAATATTATTAAAGAATTAAAAGATATTTTTCAGAATTAAGGTCAATGTTTTTATGTAGATATTTTAATCAAATTTATTTCATTTAATGCACAAAGGTAAATATTAAATTTATTTTATTATTTATTATAATTAAAATATTTAAATTTTATTTTTTATTTTTTTTTTTTTAGAATAATATTGGAACTTGAATTTTTAAAATAAAAAATCAGGCAGTTGCTTCTTTTGTTGCTTCAAGAATTAAACAAACAAGAGTTTTTTTTACAAAATATAATAAACAATCCATCATTTAATATAAAAATAATACAATTTTTATTTTATAATCATCAAAATTATGATTACTTTACTCCAATTTTTTCTGAAGCTTTTAATATAACATTAAAAAATTGAAAAACATATAAATTTTCATTCTGCTTTACCTTATTCAACATTATTCAATATTTTAATCCTCAATTTATTCAATCATTTCAAAATAAACATATTTTAGCTAATTATAATCTAATTTCAGAATTTTAAAATTCTTCTAATTCTATTATAATTGAATAGGCAATTTATTGTGATTTGGTAGAAAATTTCGAGAAAGGTGATTTGGATTTAAATCAATATTAGTAAGGAAAAAATTTTTTTTTCAAATTTATCAAAAATAGCTTTAATTTATATATGGTTACTTATTTCAGAAATTGATATTGAACGCAGTTTTTCCAATTATAAAAGAATTTTAGATGATAGATACAGATCGCTTTTAGAGAATTCTATTGAAATATTGAACTTTTTATATTATAATAATCAATAAAATTGAAATTTTATCTTTTTTATTATATAAAAATTTTTTTTGCATATTTTGCATTTTTAGTAATTTTAAAATGCATAATTTTTAATTTTGCATCGTATGAACCTATAGGCTCTAATCCAATTATAATAAAAATTTATATACACATATTTTCAAACCTGCTAAACAACTTTATTTACGCGATTAAAATTAATTTTCTTTAACCAAAATATTTAAATTGCTCTTTAAAGTTATTATATAAATAAAAAAATAAAAATAAAAAATTTATGAGATAACATAATTATAAAAAACGTGTATAACTTTACAACTATTAATGCAATAATAATAAATATTTATATGCATATATTTTTGAACTTACTGAACATTTTTACTTAACTGACTAAAGTTGATTTCTTTTGACTAAAATACTTATATTGCTCTTTGAAATCACTATGCAGATAAAAAATAAAAATAAAAA